AAAGGCTATACAATCGGCAAGTGTCTGTTTCCTCCATTCTCTTTTGCACAGCGTTCGCGAAGTAAAAGCGCAACGATATAAATCGATCCATTTGAAGATCTTTAATATTCAGTTTTTAATTGCAATAATAACATTACAGCATTACTTACGTAAAGTAATAGCTAAAAAAATTGGAGTGGATCGATTTACGCCATCGAAACGCCGATGTAAACTCGCTACCTGCTAGGCAGGCTAGAAAAAAAATGTCACTGTCGTTTGATCCACGTGAGGACACGCGCGCAATTCCGTGAGATTGTCTCTGACACACTTACAATTAGAACGAGTATAACATAGATATGTACGGGAAGAGGCCGTTATTTATGTAATTCTTAATTAATAGCATCCTCGATGAGAGGTGACCAATCGCGCTAGTATGTTTTTATTTTAAGAGAAAGAACAACTACTTTTTTTAAGTAATATCGCCAATCTCTGGGAACATTTCTACTTGCAACTGGTCGACCTAATAATTTTACAATATATCGAATTTTACAATTATATGCAGTAGTTCGCGACGTATGCTCGTTTCTAAGAATACTTTACATGCGGCTCGCAGTAGTATGAATTATAATAAGTATGATAATAATTATAATGAGTATTATTTTCTAGAAATAGTAGCGTAACTTTGAATCAATAATTTCGATTGTCAAGATTGATACAACGTATTTGCATGTACGTATATGTGCTTGTGTATATCTATTTATCTGTTTGTCAGTCTATCTCTGCATATATGCATGTATGCTCATTAATTTGCTTTGTACGTGTACGTATATGTGAGTTTGTATGTGTGTGTGTGTGTGTGTGTATTAATAGTCGTAAATAGAAACGTAGATTAATAAAGATAGCCTCGAATTATGCTTATGTTAAGATACTAGCGTTCTGTGTTGTAGAAAAATCTACAGTTGTTTTGAAAGCGAATGACATGTACCTACATTTTTTATAAGCTCCAACTTTCTCGAAAACTATTGGAAGATTTTAAGAAACGCGCAAGAAGTGAGACAAGCATAGCGTGCGAGTTACTTATAGTTTAAGTCACTGCTACTTAAAATTTTAATCGTAAAGATGATCTATAAATATAAATATAAACATAAATATAAATATAAATTGTAATTTTCTATATTTATATTTATTTTCTATATTCAATGATAAATATATATTTTATTTATATTTATTTAAATATAAACAAATAAACATTTATGTGTGTAAAAAACATAAAGATAGATATAATTAAAGGACAATCAAATTTATAAAAAAGATAAGAGATAATATTTTTATATATCAAAAAATCAGTATTAGGTTCTTGCAGAAATAACGAATGCCTTTAAATGTATGTTAAATGTCTTCAATGTGATGATGTTGAATCTAATTTACTGGATTTAATAATAATAGAAAATGATGACAAAAGCAACAGGTTCATTAATCATTCCTATATCAATTATGTCATCATTGATTACGGTTTAACGCTGTGTATTACAAAATGTAGATTTTCATCTTGATTTTGTAAATGTATTAATATTTAGTACAGCTATAGGAGAACAAGCAATAGCGATAGTGATAACAGTAACAACGGCATCTGTAACGATAGCTAACTCGTAGTAATAATAGTAAGTAAATATTAGGTCACTTCTCGAAGGCTAGTAGAAAAAACGTGCTTAGAACGCGCTCAGCTATTTATAAAGGAGAAGTCCTTTACCCTAAAGTGTAGATGATTGCATTCATAGAAGATTGTCCATGCGATAATCTTCATATGAGACTTTCGACGAAACGCGACCGTTCGCCTCGAATTAATTTCGGGATCTTCGTCGAAAGTTTCATCGATTTCCATTACCTTCGCCACGAATATCTCTTTTGCTCGATTTGTTTGCGCTTGTACTTTCTGTTTATATACACAACTTCATTTACTAAGATTATTTTTAATTTATTTTCTTTCGCGTTTCTTTATTTTGAATTCGTATAATTTATCGTTTATGCGAAAAAAATCAATTAAAATATTTAAGTAATCGTTATGAACTGTACATTAATTAAAATATTAACCATTACATCTCAACTATTATATCATAAAAAAAAGAACATAACAATGCAAATATTATTCAATCTAATAAATAAATACAAGGTCTCTTTATACGAGGTCATACATATTATTTTTGCAAAATTTGAGTTTAAATCGTTCAATACTCATAACATCAGATATGTGTTTCTAGGCCGATTATAAATTTACCTCACGTGGGAGACATTTTCGTATTTCTTCCGCGATATATCTGACGTAGCCCTCGTAAAGGCACAACCATCTGTCTCGTTTATGACTCTCTTGCGAGACTTGTCACCGGCGTTCGAGGCGAGAGACCGATGAGAGAAGACCGATCTTATTAACAAAAATATGTAAGCAGCACAATCGTAATTGAAAATATTTCTCTTCTCATATATCAATTTCTTTTCCCCTTCTCATCGCCGTTTTGTGTTTTAAGTAAAAAATTTCATTAGATACGTTCGCGATTCCGCTTGCACATTTTTTTTCATAATTTGAAAAGTTCTGCTTTACAAATCACAAAGGAACCTTCAATGAAATTGCAAGACTTGTTCGAGCCAACATTGGATCTCAAAGATGCAATGTTGAATAAAATAAAAAAATGATATTTACAAAAGTGTAAGATTAACGTAAACGCACGCATGAAGAACTGTTAGTAATGCAATTGCTAGAGAGTATAAGAGAGAGTATAAGAGAACTGCACACGTATATATCGTCGTTAAGAATTTCGTTTCAACATCGATTTGCGAAAATAAATCTTCGATTCGAGAACTTTCGTTGACATCCCTTAAACATCTACATATTGTTAACATCGAGTTTTAATGTGGTGATATGGGATAGTGACACCATATTTATCCTTACATATCGTTTAAACACACATGTACATTTTGATTCTCCTTCGCTTTACAGTTTCCTCGCACAGAAAGATGTAATAATATATAATGTATTTATATGAGGTGTACGCATGTGTTACACGCGACCCGTCGTCAACATTGACGCCGTAAGAGTTTTACGTTATACACATACACGACATCGCTTAAATATCGCCGTATCTCTAAATCTCTGCGCACACACCACACTCGATATATAATAATAAATCTGTGATCCTGTTTAACCGTTTAGACATGACTCACACATTGTGAGGGTGCTGCCGGGTTATTTTAATTAATTATGTGTACGATATTATCACGTTTATTATCTATTGTACTAATTAGTCGGGCGGGGTAAGCGCAATAATTCTGAACAATTCATTCTGCTCCCTAATTCCATCGCGGGACATTGTAGGTGGGATTTAAACATTCACATTAACGCGTCCCGAGGATCATCGTAAATTATCCCGAAGCAAATAAGGAGTAAGTTCGTATTGAAATTTTCATCGTATATCTCTCTTTTTCGTCGTATCATATATTATCTTATAAATTTTCACGCAGCTGGTCGCGAATCGCGTAATCGAACCTCTTCGGGATTGCTTCGTGAAATCATAATAATCTTCGGGATCGCTGCGCGAAAAGGGACGTCGATATTAGATCTGAGAAACGTCGAGAAAAAATCCGCCTGTCGGTCCCGCTATCAGTCTACGAGCTACAAAAATTGTGCGACTTCTAAACACCGAGTTTGGTTGATATTATTATTCAAGTTGGCCGCAAAGTTACCTCTGGAACTCTTTCTCCTTGTATCTCATCCGCTCTTCTCGTCACTACCTCAAGCTAATTGCTTTGCTTTTCTTTCCCATCGGCTCGGCCAGCAAGCCTTGGAACGATTGTCTATCATTAAATTAAAGCAGATTGCGTCGATCGAGGTATTCCATTAGATTCATATGTTTTTTATCGTCATTTTTTAGAATGCGGACAAAATTTCTAAATTTTTTAAAAAATCTATATAATTTATCCTACAATTATATTTTGCAATGGTACAGATTGCGTTGAACTTTAACATATGTAAATACAATCACATTCGCATACAAATTAAAATTTACATATATGGCAAATCTCTTTGATTCAAACGCAACGAAAAATATAAAATACAATTTAAAATTATATATTGATTAAAGCAGAGTTTATATATAACGTTGCAAACTTTTTTTTCTGTTCCGCATCCTAAATCGAGCATCAGCTTTTAATAAAAATCGCGACTCCTGGAAGCGCCTCATCGATGCAAGGGAATCAAAAGGGTTTTGTCGCCCTTTGTTGATTCTCAATATCGATATTTGAATTTATTAGTGCGTGCGAAATTCGATCGAATCACTGCCTGGATCAACCAGATGAGACCGCCGGCGGCGGTAGATGTCGGTCGAGTTTCGTTTTGGTTGACGTTTCCGTCGAAATATATTTCTTTCGGAAAAGTGGACCCTCGTCTCATTTCAGGATACATGGCTGTTTGCGGTTATCCGCCGAAAAAAATAATCTATCTCTTGGTTTTCCTTTCTTTCTTCATACTGCTCGTGTGAACACACTTGCGCAGGTACACCTTTATTGCTAAAATCACCGCGAAATACCGATGCAAAAAGCACTCGCGGATCTCGAAAGGCGCTAATCAAAGGAACTCAGTTCTATGGAACGTATTCTGTTCTCTTTATCATTTCTTTGCCTGTTTATCGAAACATAATGACGCTGACGTCGTTCCACAAGCGAAAGTTGAAAGCGTTACATCTTTTTAAAATTGATTGTCTTCTTGAACAATTGTACGATGAAATCATCTGAAGTTGATTGTCTTCTGGATATATGCTACGCGTGATTTTTTTAGAGTTTCAAGTTTGTCATACGGTACATGATCTATCCGCGTTGCTGATTGATTGTTTTTCTTAATCATTTTACGATGATCTAAATATAATCTTGATTTTCCTATTTCTTGATAGCAAAAAAAAAATAAGATTGTATATAAAAATGAGATGTATAATGTAGGAAGTTGAATTAATATTCATACGTAATAAATTTAAATTAATCAATTCAAAAAGCATATTAAACATTCCTTTTTGTCCGAATATTTCGCATAATGTGAATAAATTTTAAAGTTAGGATCAGAAGGTCGCAACACGGAAAGACTCGAATCTCGTCAACGATAAACTTGATTTATCTTCTGGAACAACGTGCGTCTAATCGCTACATTCAAGGACTCGTAAAATAAGAAACGCTGTTGTCTCGAAAAGATCGAGATCGCGCTGGTATTGAACCAGCCAGTACCGCGACGTGATCAGCCATGATTTCCATCAAGAGATAATCTTGACGACGGACTCGCCCTCGTCCTTGAGCAAAAGACTCAATCTGAGGTCGAGCTCGCCGGCTTCGAGGGCCCACTTTTCCCTTAGCCATCATGGTGAGTCCGCGTTTTGCGAGCCGAGGGTGTGAATCGGGAAGAGCGGATACCAGTCGAAAATGAATTCCTTCGGCGGCAGCAGGTCGAGGTTCACTTCGGCGCCACCCAACCCTTGGTTGCTCTCGAAGCCCTGTTTCTTCTCCCACAGCATCACCAGTAAATGTCTGCCCTGCAGGATGTCGCAACGGCCGTACTTCAGGGTCTGCCGATACTGCGGATTCTTCGAGTGTCGTACCACGCGAGTCTTGCGCTTTTGCAGCCACTTCTCGCCGTCTCGTTCTCGCAAGTACGTCTTCACGTAAGTATCTGTGGATAAAAGTTTCGTGCCGTCGAGATCAGCTCTCGAGAAAATATTGTTAAAATCAAATACAATTTTCAACATGTTTCTTCGTAAAATGGAAAGAATTATATGGAAAGAATTCTTGCACGCGAATCAATTAATTTTCTTTGGATATAAAAAAGGACAATCTTTTCATAAATTATACATGAAAATAATATCGAATCGATCAAAAATCTCGAAAAAAGATGAAGGAAAGCATACATTATTAAGTTTTTTAAATCGCTTTATCTTAATTGGATTAATAAAACTGAGCTGATTTGTTATCAAAATATTTCTAAATCTGATGTAGCACTTTTGTGTTTTATTGTAAACTTTCATTTAATATGCTTTTATTTAATATGATCAATCGGAAAACAAGTCATCATGATTATTTAGTACAATTATTTAAATGCTTGCTCGAAAATTGGTTTCTAAAGTTCAAGCAATGGATAAAGCAATATTCATTGCAAAAGTAATGACTGCAAAATTAATGTATTAATTTTGCGCAAGAAGACAAATAAGATTTCAAAGGCATATTTTACAGTAGTTGAACAAAAGTGAGTGGTTTCTATTGAGAATTAATGGAAGTAGAAGAAAGACAGCACATATATGTTCTTCAAATTACCTAGCTCCTCTTTCTCCTCGAGACAGATGTCCCTTGCGCAGATAACCTCGACTTCGAGAGCTCCCTTGCAGAGGTAGAAGCCCAGCTGCACTTCGCCATTCTGCGCGCCTGCAATGTACATAATCGTAATGAAATAAATACGATGGAAGTATTCAGTTTCAGACAAAAGCTATATATATTGCCTAAATCATTTAATAGAATAAAATTAATAAATGTTCAAAATTTAATATAAATATAAATTAATTGAATGATTCAGGTATTTAGCTAGTATTAGCTCTATTTTTAAATTGAATATTTTACCACTGATTATTTTGTATCCTTTCGGCAACACCTGTCCGCGACCCAGTTTCAGGTCGACGCCGTTTTCATTTCTCGCTGACTGACTGCAATAACAAGAAAGCCATACAAATTCAGTTACATTTAGCTTAATAAATTTAAATTCAAAATGATTTCTGTCCATTATTTTATTGTTAAATATGATGATTGAAATACAATATTAATAATGTGCGATGTCGCAAAATGTAATTGATGAATCGATAATAAACATACTATAAGTGCAGTTGAAATAAAATCGATTTTAACTTGTCATAAGAAAGATAGATCGCGTACCTCCATTTCTCATCTTCGTCGGATTCGCTATTTCGATCATAAAATCTCTCAGGAATCTCCATGACGCTGTCTTTGCGCTCACCCCGCCCTACGAGTTGAAAGATATCTTTTCACATTATTGATCATCGACCAGGTTGCAATCTGTATGGCATTACACGAATAATAAAGAATTTGTCACTAAACTATAACTCTCATTCATCGAACAACTTTATTCATCACACATAATTATCATTCTTATTGATTATTTTCTAAGTGCACGACCACACAGATCGCAGGTCATTAGGTTATTGAAAAAGACAATTTACACCTGCCAACCAGAAGACTCAGTTCTACAGGCTTGTTGTTTTAAACTCAATTTTGCGATAGATTTCTCAGAGAAGCTTCCTACTAAACAATACAATTGCAAAGCGTCTTCGATCGTATGAATTTCAATATAATTTTAATAATCTACATTCTATTATTAATATATTATCACACATCTTTATAAATAAAATATTTATTAAAATACATTATTTAAATATTTATTATAATATATTTTTTAAATATTTTATAAAATATTTAAATAAAATATTTATTTAAAAAAATTGACAATATTTCATAAAATAACAATACTATATTATAGTAACGATATTACATATATTATAAATTTTATTTAACTACCACTCTTATTTAAATAGATAATTATAAAAATTCTAGCTAATTTTTTAATATAATAGATTAAATATAATAGATTAAAAAAATAAAGATTTTTTTTATATATGTAACATTTATAATACAAAATGAATAAACTACATACATCTTTTGCATATTATATTTTTAATAAAATCAATTTTTGAATTGCTTGTGCAGGTATTATACAATTTTAATTCACAAAAATGTATGGTGAAAATCTTTCTATGTAAGCAACTCAATCAATACAAATGGGGCTGTCAAATCGTGAAATTCAACGACCGAAGCTTCCTGAATTAGATAGATATATGTAATAAGTTCCAACGCGTTTTCTCTCTACATAGAAATAAGATACAAACTTTAACTCCAAAGTACCAGTGATAGCAGGCGAGTTTCAACTCTACGAAGAGGAAAGTTTGGTCTCGATAGCTGTAATAAGATAATTAGAAGCTCGGAGAGCTAGTATGTAGTTAGCTCTCTCTCTTGTTCTATCGTTAACGTATTCCGTTCAAATTATAGTTCTCACATATTTTAATTTTTACATTTATATTTCCTTATTTTGTTATTAGTTACGAAACACATAAATCAATTTTAATCCTGCCTCATATTTTTTATCTAAACAAAAACTTCATTGAATAACTATATTAAATATATACAATTTCAATATATTCAATAAATTCAATAGATTCAATATTTCAATAAATTTAATATATTTAATATTTTTTCTTTTTTCATCGATTCATAATAAGCCATTCAGCAATAAGTGTATAGATTATTTCTCTCAAAATATTTAGAAATTGACTTGTTTTAATAAAATTTTTAAAAGATTTGTGACACAAAAAAATATATATTTTTATTTATTTATTTTATATTTTATCATATTTTTGGATACAATATAAATTTTCAATTAAATGGAAAATAATTCAATTATGGAAAATTTTAAGTACATATATAATTAAAAATAGATAAAAAAAGAGATAAAAAAATAAAAACAAGCCAGTAAAGATATAACGTAGAATCAATGAGAATTATAATATAATCAGAATTATAATATAATACAGACAGAGTTTGTTATAATAAATTAATCATATCAGTAAATTGCTACTTGTTAAATGCTCAAGTCAATACAATGCTTAAAAGACATGCAACAGTACGATGACGACATTCGATTTTTCTTACCTAAGATCATAATTGTAGATAGCAACAATGGTGTAGCAGGACGAGTGGCTAACGATCATACATTATCTACAAATGCTAATAATGCATTCTCAAGCGAATATTCCGAAGTGTTACCTATTCACTCTAATTGCAAGAAACGGTTGGGAAGAAATAAGCAAAAAAGGAACCACCAGGGTTTATAGAATAGAATGCAGGAGGTGGATAAGGTACTTTTTCTGCTTTCTACTCACCTATCTGCAGATGAATTCGAAATTGCACAATTTCCATAACGTATAAGAAAATACAGTGTAATTATAACAAATTGCAAATTTATTCATCTATTTAGTTATGCTTAAAGTCTTGCTAATGTTTTAAAATAATTAAATAATATTTCTCTCAGCTTGGTACGTGAATATATATTTCAAGAATATTAGAATATATTATACAATATAATTACAATAATTAAACTAAATTTATTACAGTAAAACTGTACAGTGTAACTTTGACAATTAATAAGATTGAATAATGTCGCGCAGTTAAAAGCAATTTAAATAAAAATATTCTATATGTTAATTTTTGAACAATTGTCTTATTCAAATTCACTGAAAATATAATCTTAAGAGAAGAGGGAAAAAAATAAATGAGTTAATTGGAGAGGAAAAGAAATTACATGCTAAAACTTTTGACGTTTAGAAAGATTAAGTAGATTAATAAATAAAAGTAAAGAGTAAAATGAGATATAACTGCGAGAATTTAATGATGTATTCAAGAAGTTGAAAAATCAACAGAAGTATAATTAATCTCGCTGTAAAAAATTATACCATGATGGGATTAAGTAGACGAAGGACGCGTGTGTGAAAAGAAAGAGATGAGTGAAGTTTACCAACACATATTTTCTCTTCGTTTTATGATAAATGACATTGCGTGCTTCTCTGAAAAATATAATATAACGTGTATCGAGGAGAAGACAAATTAACAGCACGTGTGCGCAAAAAAAAGAATTGAACGTAGAAAAAGTGCAAAAATAAAGTATTGAGACATGCAAGAGATATATTTCAAAGGCGACATTTTTTTATTAAAAAAAACATTGATGTATCTTTTAATTTCTTTTCATAGTAATACCTTTTATAAAAATACCTTGTCGTTGATTAATAAAAATTGCATAGAAAATAACAAGAAAAAACAAGATAAAAATAAAGGTAGAAAGAAACTGCAAAAAAATCAAATATTCATACGTCGGCAAATAAATAGAGTTTGTTATTTATAGATTGATTATAAAATATATTCGCTCTCATTGTATAAAAATTTCTATCCGAAAGATATCTTTTTCATTTCGATTATAAAATTCATATCACTAAAAATTAAGAAACAATTATACAAAATTAAAATGTTGTTAGAGGAACGTTTGAATGAAGATAATAAAATAATTATTTGATACATTATTATAAATATTATCAAAAATATTTGAAAAGTTTATCATATCTTCTTTCTTAAATGTTATGCAAGATGTTATTAGTAGAATTATTATATATGTATTATATATTATATATTTTTTATATTATATATTATATATTTTTTTATTATATATTTTATATGAATCTTTTCCGCACATTTTTAGTAAAAAAAGTTTTTGGAAAGTACAAAACAAACAAAATTTTAAAAATAATTGTGTTAAATTTGAAAATTTCAATCTGAAAATTTTGAAAATATAGATAGAAATATATATAGATAGGAATTTTCGGATTCTGTTTTTATTTCTCAATCTATTTGTTCCAGCCATTATCAAGTATTCATGAATATTAACAACTTTGTTGTGTGTGCGTATCAATAAACCTACCTCTATTTTCTCTCCGCTACAGAACAAGTAACGATACTTTAGAAGGAACAAACTAAGGGAGGCAAAAATTGGAAGCGAGATCCTGCTCAAGGTATATACAGTACAAATAGACGGAAATTGGCGGAGGAAAAGAGCGATAGACAGTGAACGACAGAGAAAGAGTGTGTCTTACCGGAAGCCCGTAACGTTGGTTGACAGTGCCCTGCGGTTATTTATCGAGGTGGTATGGAGTGCGGCAGTGGGAAGGAGGCCGATTTACCGGTCCTCGGAGACACAGGCTCGCACTGCCACACAGTAACTGTTGGGACTACGCACTCTGTTGTCGTTGTTGGTGGTCGATGGTGGTTGATTGTTTGGTTGGTTGGTTGGTTGGTTGGTTGGTTGGTTGGTTGATTGGTTGGTTGATTGGTTGGTTGGTTGGTTGGTTGGTCGTGCGTGCGTGGCCCACGATTTGTCGTCGATAATCGGGGTCGTGACGATGGCCGATGGCGTTTCGACCGAGCGAACCGAGTGTTTCGTTATTCGAGTCGAGTACGAAGAGCATTCAGAGTTTTGGGCGGACGATGCCGACCGAGAAAGGATATCAAGATAATCAACAATATAGCGAGGCGTTCTCAAGTTCAAAGTGCACGCCAAGCAAGAGGCAGTGCACTTATGCGAACGAAGATGCACACAGATGTCAACAAGTCGCGGAGAATGGAGCGACAAAGACTGATTAGATGATTGCGATTCTTTGGTGGCGCCGAGATGCTTGATGATCTCTTCAGACGCGGCGACGAGGTGGATGTCGCGAGATAGCTTAGACAAAAGCGGAGAAGAGAAAGAAAGAGAGATGGAGAGAGAAAATGAGCTATACATTCCCTAGAAACGTCAGCCAGCTCATTTCTCATGCAATTTGCAGCCTACTTCCTCCGTAATGCAAATCTACTCCTAATCTTCATTATAATGCTAGCAGAGATAGAAGTGACAGTAATCTCATGTTTATTCGTTTAATTAGTAAAGTTGACACTTTATTGCGGTTTTAACTGTTCATCTCGCAAAAATATGGCTATTTTAACCACATAAATTCTATTAGCACGAAATATTTTGATTTTACCATATATTTTACCATATATTTTAAATATATATTAATTTTTGTAATCATCAACTTTTTGAATACTTACAAAAAATCACTCAAATACATATATCATCGCGATCCACCCCGTGTGTTCAGCACGTGCCGGAAGCCGCCAATTAAAGCAACCAGTTAAGCCTGAACGAAGAAGAAACGATAATTTTGTTGACAGAACAATTAGCAACGCATCATTATTATGACAGCTTGCCGGCGGTGTCGATGAGGCAAACAACTCGGAGGAGTGGATGAAAGGCTGAATAGCATAAGAGCAGACAGAGAAAGAAAAAGAGAGACAGAGGACGAAAGGTCACGGCGCTAGAATTATACAACGTGCGTGCAACAGCACAGGAGCGCAATAGCATATTATGTCTTCCGTTGTTTGCTCCGGTTATGTTGATAATGCTGGTGATAATGTTCTTTCTTCCGCTTCTTGTAAAAGCTTGAGAAGCACTGTGAGAGAAAGTATTTTCGCTATTTTCGAGTCGTCAGGCTGTAAGACGAGCAGTCAGCAACAGGCACAACAGCGGCGCGCAACAACAATTGTAGTACAAAGGAGAGCACAAATGGCGTTAACTTTTGCTTGGCTGGGATGAAGAGAAAACATTGACTTCCATCCGTAGAACACAAGCCAAAGCGAAAGATAGGCACAAAGGCGTGGGATGAACGTGGCGATTTAGATGCTCGGTAAGACCACGTCAGTTCGTCGACCGGGACGATGACACCTCAAGTGATGTAAAAAAGCGAATAATGATTGACGAGCGAGGCTCGCGCAGAAGTCAGCACGATGAATCACTTTGCTAGACTCCGAATGGATCCATTAATGGTAATGGGAACGCTTCTACTTCGATTCTGGCTCGATTCCATATCGACGTCAACGTCGATCAATTTCCTCGCAATTTGGCAGATACATATGCCAATTACTATTGGCTTGCTGGATATTTACAGTGTAATCCAGGAATGAAGCAGACGCCGAATTGAACATTAAGCGTATGAACGATGAGAGGACGGCGCAATTGAAGATACAAAATAGAAAGCGGTCATCGTCATGGTCGACGTTAGATGCAAATCTGAAATCAATCTGATCCCGAAATCCCGAAGTCACGTCAAGATCCTTTCTAGGTCGAGCTGTTCTGTTAGATATTATAAATTGACAAATATTGTATGTTCTTTTGACAAAGAAAGGAGAAATTTCTCCGAATGTTAAGAACGTTCGCTCAGTCAAACCGCGCAAAATCGACAGGACGTGATAGTGCGAGACAGATAGTAATTGCATCCGAAAACAAGAATATAGAAAAACTTTACAAAATGGTACCATATGTAATAAACATATAGATGCGGATTATACTAAATATGATCAGAAGAATAATTACAAAATAGAACTGTGAATAAAAATAAATGCATTTCATTGAGAAAGATCTTTGACATATAATAATAAAAAATCCTAGAATCCTAGAAATATTTTTTTATGACATAACAATTATACATTATTGTAACAATCATTGAGAAAGAGTGTCCTACTTTTTTGTATTATATAATAAACAATACAGTAATATATATATATATATATATATATATATATATATATATATATAGATTTAAAAGAATAAAAATTAAGGGAAATTTTTAAAGTCTCTAACACATGTGCTTTTCCCATTCAAAAATTTAAATTTATACAAATCATGATAATTATATTACTCTCTTATATAAAATGAAAAATATCTATTGCAAAATTTTATAAAAATTTATAATTTTCTATTAAAAAAAATTTTTTTATGTAATTTTCTATTACTCATTTCTTAGTTAAGAGATGAAAACATATTTAAAAAAATATATAAGTTGCTGAAATTCAAGTTTTTATACAAAACAGTTTTATAAAAATCGAAGTTTAAAAATAGGGAGAAAAAACAAGGATAGAAAAAAGGAGAGAGAAAGAAAGATTTGTTTAATGTAATAAATGTGATTAGATGATTACACATGAGACGATGTATGAATAGAGTAGAGAGAGTATGCACACATACACACATACACTCCCACACACATACTTATATACATTTAGATGTACGATATGCATGATATGATGGGCGATCAATGATACTTGCTGTTAGGATTAGATGATGATAATGACGCGATAAGCCGACGAGAAACGTTAAACAACAATAACGGTGACAAAAAGGAGAACAAGAGAGAAAGAAGATTGTCACAAAATGCAGTAAAAATGATCGTGGAGATTGTGACGAGCGAATGGAGAGGTACAAAGACAGACAAACAGACGGACGACGGACGAACGAACGAGCGAAGTGATGGCCAAGAGAAAGCAAGGAAACGTTTATACTCACGGCTGCCGCGTCTCTTGTCGCCCGTGAGGCTCATCGTCCTGTTGAGCTCACCCTTGGCCGCCTTCAGCGTTCGCAAACCCTCCAGTATCTCTTCAGGATCTCTCATCGGTCTTGTGAATGAGCTTCGCCGCCGATCACGATTATAATGCACTATAGCAGGCATATCGGTTTCGCCCATGCTTCCACCTGCGAAATAAATCCGATGAGACGTGATTAGATACAAATGCACGAAGTTATATTGGAATGAGAATAGAAAGAAAAATTGATATCTCATTCCTGATTCGCAAATTAAAATCTAATTCTCTAATGTAAAGATATTAATTTTAAGAGTCTACGCATTTTTGTGGTTTTTATTAAAAAGGAATATTATTATTATTATTATTATTATTATTACTGTATCTATTTGCATTTCTCTTTAATGTTACTTTAACGCTCGTTAACTTTCACAATGCAGTGCATCAAGTTTTGCTGTTTACAACGTTTTACGCGAGCTTCTTCCTGAAGCGATGTAATCGAATAGCGATAATCGAGGAAGCTGTTACTTAAGCCTGCCAAGTACAATACTTACAACAAGCACTCGAAGGTGCCGAACAATAGCATCACCACTGACTAGCCACTATGTCGTTATCATCTTTGAAAAAAAAAAAACAAAAGAAGCGTGTGCTTGCTTAAGAATGAAAGCCAGCTTGCAATAGAAAAAGGGACACAATTTATTGGGTCAAGTATTTGTGGATAAAATCAAAAATTTGAATAAAAAGATCTTTCAAAAATAAAATTTTTACTTCTCGATTATTTATATTGGTTGAATGTGTTGTTTCACAAGCGTATTCAAAATCGTTTATATTATCGATTTCGTTATGTGTATATCGAGTAAGCTAGATAAACCTAGATAAATAAATATATCCATATATCTGGAGGAGAGATTTTAAATTAGAGTTTTATATTATCAATAATCTTTCATTATTATATATTTTTACATTTTAAGCAATAGTTATATTAAATATCACACACGTTTAAAAATTAAAATTCTTTTTCTTACGAATAAATTTACTAAATTGTTACTCAAGATATCATTTGTTTAATTAATATTCCATTTTTTTATTACGCTTCTATTATACTATTAAATGCTCTTATAATTAAGCATCATATGAATCTCTTTTAATCAAGATCGATGAAATTTATTCGAAAAAGATTCTTTTGACACATTAGTATTCCTGTTAGAGAGAAAACCTATCTCGAATGTTTCTCGTGATACTCACGTTTGCTATCAGTGCCGCCTTGACTTTGGAAGCTGCTCCTGCGGCTACCTGGCAGAGATCTACTGTAATCCCGACTGAGCTCATAAGGCTCAACCTCGAGCTGTTCGGACTGGCTGGAACCTCGTCTGGAACTACTGTGCCAGGCGTGATCTGGATGCAAGAAACAGAATTCTGGGCTACCGCTGTCGCTCTGTGTGTCGTCGCTATAGCTACGATCTCGCAGCTCCTTTCTCAGCAACCGTTGGGCAATGTCCATTGACAGCGAACCGCGTGGCGAGCAGTATGGTGATTTACCCGTTCGAAGCCCACGTGGATCCTCCAATCGATACCTAAATATTTCATAAATCATAATTCATTTTTAAAGAATATAAAAAATTTATATAATAATTTAAAAAATTATAATTATTATGTTTTTAAATAAAATTATAATTATATTTAATTATATTTAAGTTTATGTGGTAGTTCACGTTATACCACGACAATCAATCACAGGCTACGTTGTAACAATTTTATGCCATCCAATATTAAGTTCTCCAATCTTCGTTCTTTGAAAGATGTACTTACCAAACCGCTCGATCATTTTCAAGCGCTCGTTGAACATCGACAGTGCATTCACCGAGGAACACATTATCACCATCAGGACAGTAATCCCAGAGAGTCACCTCAATCGCACGTTCCATCAGACTCTCGCCATCAACTCCGGTAAAGAACAATGTAGCATTCCAGATAGGTTTCTGGGTCGGCTCGGCCACGATAGTCTTTAGGAGAGTTGCATCGCCGCTGTAAGTCATAAGTAATTAATCAATTTCTCATTTGGAATGTCGAAAAACATAAAATAATAAAAATAAAAGCAAAAAATTTTAATAACAAAACTTTTTAATAAAAATAAATTAAGAGGAAGAAGTTAACTCTCTTCGTGTAAAGTTCTAAAGGTAGTTAATTAAAAGGTAGTTATAAAAATGTAATTTAATAATTTACGAAACTACTCTTAAATGTTATTCAATATTGTACATTTCGGTTTTTTTATGTAATTTTTTTGAATATATAGAATACTTTATATATATATATATATATTATTATGTAATTTATATATATTATTCTTTCTTTGCTTTGATACATAATACATTTTATACGATTGGGAATCAATTTCGAGAGAGTCGAACGTGTGTTGGACATATCCAATTCGAAAATTTACGAGATGTCCGTGGACTTACCATGGCGGAGCAAGGATAAGCTTAGCGAAAGCCTCCGGCAAGGTACCAAATCCAGTGTCTTCTCGAGCACATAAGTCATCGGCCATAAAAACTGAAACGACCAATTCCTTGCGTTCTGCCTCGTACGAAACTTGGATTTGTATGCGACCAGTCACCTGCCTCTCTTTTGCTAATTGCTCCTAAAATATAGGAAACTGGTATTAACATCTTTATTATGTCAAGATGTAAAGAATTAAGAATTTTTAAACCTGCGAGTAGTAACGAATGTTCTTTGTGTTTTTCATATAATTTAGATAAAATTAACAAAAAATCATTAAAGCGACGATAAAATTCATATTACAAAATTATCCAAAATAATTTTGACACATAGTAAATATTAAAATTCGAAAAAAAATAAATGATCAATTATTAATTTTAATTTTGAATAAAAATTTTCAAAGAAATAATTGTTTGCATGTTTTCAGAACGAATCAAAAACTTTAAAATATATTAGAAATAACATTAAATTAGATTCATTAATTAACAGACGATTTAGAACAATAGTAGCGATAAAAGTATTTAATTAAAAGTATCCAAATCTTACGCTAGAATTTTAAAGAACTTTTAACAGAACTTTCGTGTCCACTTGCGGCTGTTATGAGGAACTGGAAGCAGAGTTAATTTTGCATGCAGAAGCAGTTTCACGGTAGAGTTTTGTTGAAGAGATAAAACGAAGATGAGAATGAGCAAACTAAGAGCAGTCCTCGAGGTTTAGTTTTATTCGTGTCAAAACTCATTCCGTGTCACAGATCATACAGCATAACAACTATGAATATGTATATATGTTTATGTGTGTCTGTATATTTGTAGGGATGTAGTCCCAAGAAAAATATTAGTTTTAAAAAGTATATTAAATTTTATTTCATTCTCTTTTAACTAGGCACAGATCGATAATCTATTGTAAAAATAATAAGGCATTTAAAAATTAAAAAATCTATAACTATATTTTTGAAATAGTCTCAAAAACACATACAGAATTTTCCAAATTCTTTAATCTAGTTTTCAGATTGGTATTTTTCAACTTTTGTAAATTTTTGAATTTTTATATTTCTGTAATTCTATTTAAAATTTTTTTGAATTTTCTTTTTACTAAAAAGACCACTGAAATCAATACATATTATTCTATTTTGATATTTTTGTAATTATATCTTGAAACAATCTTAATATATTATTATAGGACATTATATATAACGTATAATAATTTTTTTCTATATTTTTCTTATTTATTTAACGTAAATGAATCATTGGACTATAACCCTGGACATGCGATACAGTCAAGAAAAACGTTCGTTTAAACAGGCCTTGGTTAATTTTCATTTGTCTCAATTTTTTTCGCTTTTACGCGATCCACGATTTATATATTCTCTTCTCGATCTTCTTCTTCTCTCCTCATACTTCTCTTCCAACTTGTTTCCACGATATCCTTCATATATCTTCTCCACTTGCCTTCTTAGATCATATCCAAATTATAATTGCAAAAACATAAAGAAATCGTTCAATTCATTCATTATCCTTTCTTTTCACGTACGGTTTTCCCGAACTGTACGTATTTATTATATATGTTTACATATATATTTACTTCAATAAAAAAATTTTTTTTCTATGCGCAAGCAAAAATACATACATGTATGTCACAACGCGCTTCTTTGGCTATGTCATATTATGACGTGTATATTAAAGATGATATATTTGTCATAAAATTTTTATCCGTAATTTTAATTCAATAAACAAAATAACTTTATTGTATGCTTTTGCATTGTCTACATGAAAGCTCGTCTATATATCATTTAGTAAATTAATTGTATTGCTGTTTATTTATGAAAACGGAAACCAATTGATATTATACTATTATTATTTCTGTTAACTTTGAAATAGGATATGAATTTGGGATATAAATCTCATATCCCCATTTTGAAACTGAAAGTCTGATATTATAATTTTATCGAGAACATTCTGAATAATATTATAATCTGATATATTACATAACTTTCTAAATAAAATAATATGTATGATAAACACTAATCTAAAATATATAATACGTATTAAGCTTAAGATTATTTAATAGATTATAAATAAAGCTTCAAATTTTTCAAAATATTATCTAACTACTCAATTCTAAGTGTTAAAGTAAAATTTTTTAATTTATATAAACTTTACAGGTATATATTATAATTAATATAATATATTATTATATATATTTTGTATATTTTGTATAAATATATGTATATGTGTATAATCACTGTAAAATACTTTTTCAAGCATATATATTAAAACGAAAGAAAGGAAGAGAAGAATGAGAATAATGTCAAAAGATAATTAATAATTATAAAGAGGGAGAGAAAGAGAAGATTTAAGATTATATATACTTAGAGATTATTTTTACGGACAATCTCCCTGCTAACAGGTACGGTCTCGGTAATGGGAATAGAGAAGTTATCGCAGACGAAAGTGGGGATGAGAGAATCTTTTTATCCCGATTTAAAGTAAAAAATAAATTTTAATGAAGATGGCAAGATGAGTTTCTGAAAAGATATCACGGTGAAGTAATTTAACCATGAAGTTTTCTGTCTCCATTATCTCTCCATAATAGTTTCGTATATTAAAATCATCGCGAGCAAGTTTTGTCGCTTAATAATTATCGCTGGAATTAAAATCTAAAATTAATAAAAATCATATGACAGATATATTTAAACAATTCTCCTCTCTAGAAAATTGATCTATTTTTCGTGTCATACATTATAAATTACCAATTATTTATATATAACGTTTCTTAGATGATATATTCATTATATATTAAAAATGGAGACAATCAGAAATATTAAGATTAATTATCGCATGTAACTACTGTATACACATATTTATTATTTTGTTTTCAATCTTTATCAAGCATCTTCCATATATTGGCTACTATCTACGCTATTATTACACGTGCACAGGTTCTGTCGAAGCCGAAGAAGTGTCGTTGCGACAAGCGTTGATGTACAATGTCAGTCTACGGTTGTTTCCAAAGCTCGCACTTCCCAAGTATAGCAACCGACTAATGTTGTGCGATACGTTTCGTCCGTCCAAAAACATTTATTTAATGTATGGTCGACGGAGGTATGATCCATTAAATTCACATTCCCACGTATCTCGCGTATATACTAGGGAAAGCGACAATATGACAACAACCAAACGCCCGCGTTTCTCCATCCGAGCAAATATTATTGTTAAAGATTATCGATAGCTTCGCTTGTAGATCGGTCGTCGAGCATTGAGCGAAAATGTTCACAATTCCCAAACCCCCCACAGAACGATAAGAACTAACAGAATTATTGAATGCCCGTGTCTATTTATATTCGTCGACCGCGTTGCACATCGATGAAATTGCACAGATAGAGATTGCAATAGCATCGAGAACAATTGTGAGCCCATCACGTGAGAAGATTTGACAGAGGACCGAAAAACTATCTTTCTTCCCCGCGAATATGGTCGATCAATCGCAATCGCGAACAATATCGCGGACAATGCGCTCGGACGTTTGGCATTTGTGCATCACTCAGGACGAGTTTAGTGTTCGTGTGTCTGCGCTCGCAATCAAAATTAAAGATAGCGGATAGATTGGGAAAAAAAGAAAAGAAAATAGCCATATAAAGATACGTAGAGACAGAGACAGAGAAAGAGAAAGAGAGCCAGAGAAAAGTTGGTACACGTCGATCTATAAATTGATAAATATTACTGAGCTAAACAACGAGGCAGCCACAGACGTACGGGGAGAATTGGAAGAGAGAAAGAAAGAGGTAAGAGAAACGAGTCGCAAAGAAAGAAAGAAAAAAAAAACGCTAACGTACAACTAGAATTCGTGCCAGTTGGGAGAGAGTAGCGTGGAGGGCCAATATGCTAAATTTGTTCAACATGGACAACTTACATTTCGTCATTTTCATTTCTCTTTCGTCTCAGCGGATCTATTGCTTTTTTTTTTATTTCTGATCATATTGGTTTTTTTTTTGTATTACACGGTGCGGTCGGCTTATGTCAGCGGGTATATACAGGGAGACACACAGTTGCATATATGCATGTATATATATGTATATATATATGTATAATATATAAAGAAACGTAGATGACATCGAGTATGTACATACGTGGGCGGAAGTAACGGAATTACTTAGAGTAACGTAGAGAGTGAAGAGACGGAGCACACAGAGTATGTAGAAGTCCAGAGAGGAATCTCGTGTAAGTCTCTCGTACATCGGGAAGAGTTAAGGACATAGAGCAATCTAACAAAAAAAAGTTAGAGACAGAGAAATAGGAAACGAGAGAAAGAGAGAGAGAGAGAGAGAAAAACAGAGAGGGATAGAAGGGGAAGAGATATAAGCTGAACGAGATAAAATAATAATAAAAGAGCAGTATGTGATAAGGAGAAAGTGAGTTAGACAAAGAGAGAATAAAAGAGCGGAACGCGGTAGAGATGGAGATATACATTTATACATATATATGATCTTTCTCTGGCAGGGTAAAAATTACGTAAAGAAAGATCGAGTGCCACAGCCTCCGTGTATGCATGTAGTCGAGCTTCTCCGCGAGAATCTCTTTTTTAAACTTTTTCGCCGTTTCTCCTTTCCATTTAGACCGCTTTTTCGAGAACGCGAGAAGGATAATTCTCACATCGCGAGTTCAGGATTTAAATTTCGTGGAGAAAATCTGGAACAGCGTCGGAGCAATTTTACGAGGTAAAACTAATGAGCATTTTTCTGCTTGTTTTATTTAAAAGTAGAATTTTCTAAGCAATATATATTGCCTGAAATATTATATTTTTTCTGTATAAATGTAAAATTTTTTAGTACATTTTTTTATACAGATAATATTTCCGATGTATGATTATATTCGAAAATTGTACAATGCCCAAAACAAAGTAAGATTTAAAATAAAAACAAGCTACAAAAAATTAAATTTAACAACGTCCAATTTTTTTACCATTCGCACGAAAAGCGCTTTGAATTTTAAAATATTCAAACTCCAAATATGTTGACAGGTAAATTGTGCAATATCCAATTGTGTAAGAGTAATATCACAAACACGCGTAACGTTTAATACTTCGGATTATACAATATAGCCGATAAAGTATATGAATAAAATTCACTCGACACCATTCCATCCCTTTGAAAAAATAAAAAGTCTCGGATTTGGTGTTAAAAAAATTCGACATGTGCGTTGAATTTCGCGACGGATCGCTTTCAGGCGATTTTAGTCCGCGCGAAGATCAGCAATGAAGCAGAGAAAGGAGAACAGCAACGACACAACTCGCCCCAACTGACACTTTCGTTTCCTTCTTTATGCTACGCGTCTCTTTCCGAGTCTTCTCGTTGCATGCGCGTTTATCGCATTTAACGCGTCTTGCCTCTCTCACGTGAAACGAAAAGTGCAAAGCGTGACATTCGTTCTCTCTCACGAAAGCGACGGGCACGCTCGTGTGCTGCCTTTTTTCTTTTTTCGCCACCACGTACGTCACGTTTTGGAGGATCCTGAATATCACTATCAGAAAAGATCTCTCCTCTGATTTTATCACGATTTTATGTAAATATCCTGCAAAAAAGGACTTAAAGCGACTGTATGGGATTTTCAAAGTAAGTTGTTGAAATTTTGAACTTTGTCTCGCTTTGTCAAAGAAACGTCAATTACAAAAATTTTTCAAAGATTTTTGAAGACGATATGACTTGTTATACGAACTTTAAATCCGTCTAGAGATATGCGATTTTACAAAATTGGCAAACGTTTGTTGTAGTTGTAGAGCTTGCATTGAAGAATCGATAAACCCTGTATTCGTTAGCCCTAAGATATTACTAAACGTTAATTATATATTAATAGTTATAAAATTTATACAATTATCTATATATTGTTTCTTTTCACATAGATGTATATGTATATGTATAATAACTATTACATTATTATAAATGATATATTATAGAAATCTCTACATTCGATAAGATTCAGTTTTTATCTTCCTATGTTAGCAAAATTCTGACTCATGTCGTTACTTACTAAAGGCGTTTAGAATCCACGCTACAGTACTTAAGGTAAAATATCGATTATTGCACGTGCAAGCTCTATAAAAATTGCCAAGCAATAAGTATGTATTCATATTAGAGATATTATTTTTAGATATTATTTTTCTTATCAATTTGACTATCAACGAAACGTACGGGCTGCGAAAGAGATTTTTCAGTGTACAATGCTTCAATTTGTTTCTCAATGTAATAAAATCGTTATCAATGTTTGTTGTCAATTCTGATCGATGAACTCTGTCGATTACGAAAATAATATTGTCATTTTATACATTATTTAATTATTATTCTACATTCAAATTCCTTTCTTCCTATCTCACAATTATTTTATAAATATATAATGACGATTATATAAAACATAGTAAGAAAAAGAGAGAGAGAAAGAAAGAGACAAATTCGAGACTTATTGAAAGAAATAATAAGAGAGCTGTTGATGATAATAAATTAACTTTACATAAAATCGTAAAAGAGAATTTGGACATGTGATAAACAATTCTCGAAGTTGTTTCAAGACTCACAATAAAAGATAAGAAAAATAATAAAACTATATTACCATTTCTCTCTTAATATGCTAAGATATATCGAGCAACGTAGTCATTTGAAGTTTGCAAAGAACTGTCACTTGGCGGGATCATGAGTCATAGACGCAATAAAATATAGTGTAGATGGCGCACATACTCTATTTTTTTCATATATAGTTTACATAAAAAATAAAGAGGGCGCCATCGCATCAAAAATTAGTTTGTCCCTTTTACTCGATTAAATAACTAGATTTTTTAATAAATTTCTTTTTTAAGATTCAGTTCTTTATATATTTATTATACATATATTTGTTACATATTCTTGCTTATATTTGATAGAGAAGACTACTCTAAAAGCTTTCTTTCTCTTTCTAATTTCCGCGCGGTGTATCTATATATTATTTATTATGTCTATGACACGCGCGAAATTAAACGTGTGATCAAATATTTCGTTATCGCGTCTATCCACGTTGTTAATTGCCAGAGATGAATATAAACATGTAAATTTCTTTTACAATAAGTCAATTATTTCAACAATGCGCCAATTAAACGTCACGTCATATTTTTAGAGTGAAATATAATATTTTGTCTCCTTCTAACTTATTGCACTAGTGTAGCAGTGCACCTACAAGAACAGACCCATGGTCACGTGATCACTCCTTGCAAACGTCACTCACTTGACTCACTACGTCATTTTAACTGCGCGTTTCGACGAGTCGTGATTATCTCTGATTCCCGCGTCTTTTTGCTCGTTCCTGAACAAATTTCGGTCACGAACGTATGTCGAGTGTATCGTGTCTAAGTGTGTCGTCTCAGGTAATCGTCTCGTTGCGTGAAATCGGCTTGTGCGATGAATATATCTGGCAACAATCTGCCGGCGAGAATCGCCGTTTCTCATCGGACCGAAAGTTTTGGCAAAAGTATCTTGATATTTTCTCGTCCAAGGATCTTCTCTGGATCCAACATCTGGACATCAAGAAACGATCGCAGGGATCGCGAGGAAGATCCTCGCGAAGCGCTCGATTTCGCTCGCCCGAGATATTCGTATGGACGTCGGGACGGTCGCGTCCGCCATGATTGTGACGTCACGCCAGTTGCTGCGCGATTTACGTCGCACGCGTCCGCCATGATTATGACGTCACGTCAGTCCCCGTGCGATTTTACGCCGAACTTGACGTGTTGCACACAACGCGAGCACAACCGAGAAGTTCGGGCTCGAAGCTTGTTTTTTTAATTTTTTTCAGCGTATCAATTTAACCACTCGAGGACTCCCAAGTGTGTTTTTTTCGGGTGATCGGTGACGCCGGCCTGTAAAAGGATGTACGCGTTTTTCGCGAGTGTTATTCGCGAGCGCGATTGAGTGCCGAATGAAAGTACGAACGGTTGTTTTAATCTATAAACTCTGATCCTGCTAACGCGAGTGGGGTTTTTGTATACGTCAAGTATATATGTGCTATTGATATCGATCATATGTTTCCGTAAATCGCCATCCGTTCGAATTTTCTGACAAATACGCGTGTTTGGCTCATGTGATTGACAATGAGTGCAACGAGAGACATCGAGGAGCATCGAGGGATTGAAATAATGGGGATTAATCGACAGAGGAAGTACATTGCTCGTTTACGATATTGAGGTAACGTTGAGTGTAATATTTATACTATTTGTTGCTGAATTAATATTATCGGAAATTTTATCCGCATTCCTTCCGATGTAAAGGGACAGAATATTCCCCGCATTTTAATATTTCATATTTTTCTATACGACTGATAAATGATAAATAAAATTTAATTTATTGTCAGAGAAATTATCAAAAATTAAATATGATTATTATAATTATCTTTCGAGCTATACAATGAAAATCATTTAAATTATAATTTTCATAAAATGCGTGATATAATTTAATCAGCATATAAATATGTAATCAACAAGGTTCATCAATTTTTCGGCATGCACACTCTCGCAGATACTTTTTGCTGTTTTGGTAAATGTTTTAATGACCAACGCATACGTAGCACAATGTTTTTTCCACAAGATGAAAAGAAAAATACATTCGAGAGATTTGGGAAGCTGAGCCCTAACCATCGGAAGCATGGTCTAATTTTAAGCATGGTAGCGATCTTAGCCTTACTCAACAATAATCGTATTTAAAACACATAATTTTTCGCTTATAGACATACCCGATTAATCTACACGGATATCATTTGATTCTTTAACATTCATAAAGGTAGAAATTTGTAGATGTAATGTATTTTTATAAGTAATACTCCGCTTTTTTCAGCGAAAAATGCATGCATCTGATACGAAGGATTAATTTATAAACTTATGCGGATATAACATATGTATTGCACGTTGCAGTTATATGTAACATTTGAGATATATTATTATAATATTGGAATATCTTTGTCTAATGTAAAAATTCGTATCATAAAAATAAATTTTCATTTTGGTATACTCGAGAAATTCGAGAAAACATTTAATTGAATGATTAAAAATGCCATACATTTGATAAAAATACTTATGCAATATAAATATTGTTATAAATATTTATAATATTTATAAATATTTATAATATTATATAATTATAATATTTATAATAAATATTTACAATACAAAATTTATAATTATAAAATATGAATACGTGCATAAAATACATTAAAATTTTTTCTTGCTTGCATAATTCAATACATTCAACTGAAATATTTTATGTTTGTAAAATTAATGAGAGTCTCTTTAATATTCTATTCTCTTGTTATAAATAATGCTTCGTATCAGATACATGTCCCTTGCGCTTGAACGAGCTTTATTCTCTATGGACGCTTATTGGTCCAACTGTAAAAATCCCTCGTGAAAGATACAGTGGTCCATAACAAAGTTTTCTAGTCTATAGATCAAGGAATATTTACATTGCCGGTCGCGCCGCGCAAGATGATCGGTTTAATGCATCGTACGATGTATCCAGGTGGAATTGCGTTAATTAATAGCGACGTAATCAAGTCAAAACCTGAGAAAATCTAATTTTCGATCTTGATCAAACCTCAAAGTCTTTCCAAAATTTATTTGAAGCAATAATATCTTTTCAATCGTTTGCGTTTACGCGATGAAGTAGAAATGCGACAAAAGAAAAAATGTACATATTTTTTAATTTGTAAAATTGATTAATCAGGTTTTGACCGAACAGCATCCACTTTACATCGCGGATGCGTACCGATTAAATAAAAAAAAAATTTAACTTGCTAAGTACTTTATCAAAACACCCAATATACACAATACCTAAAACTGCGCTAAAATACTAAATTCAGTATATTCTCCTGTATATTCCGTGCTTTACAATCGCTTCTACATTTCTGAAGCTCGCGTTAATATCTAGAAGCCGTGTGAATTTCCGCTTTCGCTCGTTCGTTGTCTTGAGAAAAACAAGAAAATAATCTGGCAACAAAAATCTCTGAAAGAGATTCTCTGAAAAAGATTCTCTGGAAAAGTTTTCTTCGAATATTTAAATACAATGTACATATGTACAATTACGATAGGAAAAGAGAAATGCGTCAATGTATTTCGTACTAATTAAAAATATTATATATATTTTTAATTTATAATAAATTTATAATAAAATAATTTTTCGCACACAATTATAACAAAGTGCACGCATGTCGAAAAACAAGCTTTGTAAAATTAAAATTTATTTTAATCATTTGTTCCTAGGTTTTCACGTAAAAATGTCGCGATTAATATTAATTTTTCGCGAAAATGGGCAATTTTTATAAAAATTCTCAATAGCGATACGAGCAACGCGCTGCTCACACGGCTTATCTACGATTGATTGTACGAAAGCTTTTCTCTTTCTTCAGACAGAAATCGGTTGCGGTGTCGCGTTGCGAAACCGACGGACGGAGGTGTTCATATAAGCTCGCGTTTAATCGATATAATTACATACCCGACCGATTCGTGTACCATGTTCGTTTGCGATAATTAATCGAGGGGGCCGATCGAATAGCGTTGCGTCGAAATAAACCAATGACGCATCGGCAAACAATTAAATTAATGGCCACACGAGAACGCGACAACCGAAATCGGGGAGGAAAAGGAGGAATAATTCAATCGATTAAATTATTTTAGCGGGTGACAGGTCTCGGTAGCATTCGAAATTTTGTGTTTTTATAATGCTTGAATAAAGAGAAAGAAAAGAAATTTAAAAAACTTTCAGGTTTTTAAATATTCTGGTACTTCAGATTTTTAATGATACATATATTGAAGTATGTATTCTGTTAATTGGTTTCCGTTAATTGATTTCAATGAAAAACTTTAATGCCCTTTAATTTGAGATGTTACGAGTGAGGTTTTATAGATAATAAGAATCCCTTATATAGTAATATTTACAATAATGCTAGTTTTCAATAATAGTAATAATACTGTATACAAGATTCTACATTTATGTATATTTTTTTTAAACGACAAGAAATTGCAATAATTATACTATTCGCAATTGTTTTAATTTTTATCATTTATTTTATAATCGCATTACAAAATACATTAATTTTTTTTTATGGAATTTTTCATTGAATAATCAAGTGAGAGTTGATTTCTCTTCATATTTTTATTAATATTTTTTGCAATCCTGGAATATATGAAGATAAAGAACACCCCCGCGATTGCGCCGAAGAAAACGAATTGGCGTACACCGTAACGCGCATTTCTGCTAGTGATTGTACGATTGCTGCTATATGGCCTATAAAGGGGTCATATATGTGATAATGTCTTAATAAATTTAAGTTGTTCTCGAGTCGCATCGACAAATCCTATAATCGATATCAGGCGGTAGAAACCAGTGCCGTCAATTCAACATTTTATATATTTTAATCAGTGAAAAATATTACGAATATACACGATCTTATATAAAATTATAAGTATAAATCCAAATATATAAATGTATCGAATCAAATGTATAAAATCAGTATTATTTTATGTTGTTTTATTTTTATTTTTCAATTTTTTGTATATTTGTATTAAACTAATTAAGTATAGCTGTTCAAAAGATTCATATTTTTACAAAAATGTTTTTTAATTTTTGTAGAAATATTAAATGTTACATGGATGTTTGCCTTCAATACGTTCATTAATTTATAGAATTTATAGAAACATTTCACAAGTATTTTACATATAGGATGTTGCGTAACTTTAAAGGTAAACAATCCGGCGTAATAATTTCGACATTCGTGTAGCATATTTTTCAAAGTTCGCTCTCATATATTATTCGAGTATGCAAACAGCTAAGATCGCTGATTGAAAAACAGCACACATAGTGTACATACATATAACGTGGTATTGGAAAAGTGTATTATTGGATTCACGGCACTGGTTAAATCTGTCATGTTTTTCTTTTTTAGTAGCTACTAGATACAGTCTTCTCCTTAAATTTCGTCTGTAGGTAGCTCAAGAAAATTTTTTACAATTACGATAAGAATTCCACCTACTTTTGCTAAAACTCTCGTATCTGATAAGATACTTTATGATCCTTAAATCACAGCAGTAACAAATAAAAATGACAAAAAGAGACGAAAAAAATAAAAGCAATTAGCAATAAATTCTTTGTAATCCACGTAGACGGTCGATGATATATGACGATCACTATATTCTCGTCAAGTTTTATCTTTTCGTGCAGTTTTCGTAAAAAAAGAAAGAAATACATTGATCATAAAATTTCAATTTTTTGAATATTGAATTTTGAAAATACGCGATAGAGAGATTGAAATATCTTTTGGATAATTTATTGTTCGGCACTAAAATATTTTCTTATATATTATATACCCTTCGTTCGCTGAGAATTTAAAATAATATATGAAATATAATAATACTCGAAATACAATGTAAATTAATGTAATATATTATAATAAATGAATGTAAAATTATATATAATAAAAGGACTATATTCGATGGATCACGAAATTTTTTAAATATTTTTGTTGCTATCACTTTTCGCGATTAATAACGCATAAAATACGTGATTAACTTTGTATTATTTTTTATTATCCATAAAATTTAAAAGGCTACATTACTTAGCTTTTACTACACTCTTTTTCTTACCACGAATTCTAAAATCACACGAGCTTGAGGTTGTCGTTAGAGATCCAAAACTATTAATTACTATATATTAAAGATCAACTTAGTAAATCTAGATAAATTCTTTACAATTTTTTTCTTTTAATATTACCTAACTTTTCAAAAACACTCGAAAGTAATTTTTTACATCGTCTGAATTATCCTTTTATGGGCAGACTTTTCTTTTATTATTATTGAAATGCGATTTTCGAAACTTATCTGACGACAACGCGAAGAACATTTTGCTCGTTTCGGTTTGCCGAGAAAAAGGGACATCATAGCTACGTTACATCAATGTACGTACAATATTTACATGTAACAATTTTCGCGCACAATCAGTGAAAATGCGCGGTTGAATTGTGTCGCATCGTGTCTTACTGAGGTAAAATCGACATGATTTAAAATTGATTTTATTTTCCATTAATAATACTCAGTAAGAACATTCGAATACTTTTGTTAGCTTTTCTTAAGCACTATTGGCAAAGCGTTTAGATAAGATTGTCGGTCCGTTGAGAAAGAATTTAATGTAATTTAATTTAATGTAATTTAGGAAGCAATTCGGCTATTGGATCAATGAATTAAGAACGCGAGTAATCAAAGGACGGAATAATGCAGCAATTGATGTAAAAACAAATTTTTCTAATATATGAATATAAATTATATTATTTTTTTATCGCAGAAATTTGGCATAATTATTTATATATTAATACTATTATTACGATTAAACTTGTTATAACAAAGATGCGTATAGATATTAAAATTTTAATTTGCGGTTGTAAATTGGCAATTAACTTTACAATTTTTTTTTAAATACATAAAAAAAATTAGAGATTTGAACGGACAAATTTTTGTTCAATTCCCTAAAAAAAAAAATTGCGGCGAATCCAATAAACAATTAGACGAAACGTCGAAGATGTAAATCAATCATGCTGTTTTTTAGGCATCAAAATTGATTGATCCGCGGACATTTCGATTGCGATTACCGGAGATTTTTTATAAATTGTTCGTGACACTTTCGACACGCTTCGGCACATTCACGTAGCTCGTTCACTTTAACTGATTTGGACACGTTGACGCTAAAAGCCGCGATCTCACGCACTCGTCCACACACGTCACACCCGTCACGTCTGCCTATACATCCGTCGTTTACACGCGTGCACAATCAATTCGTGTTCGTGTACGGTTAACACGAATAACACGTATATTATATGTTATATTATATGTACAAAAACAAAGAGAGGATGCGCGAGGGAGGAGAACCTCTTTTCCATTTCGATCAGCTGCTCCCTTGCGCTTTTCTCCTTCTTTTTTTCCTTACGCTCTTATTCTCGGCTTTTTTTTAAGCGTGCTTATCCCCGAGTCTGCGTATGCATCGTGTACATCGTGTAGGGTAATGAAAGAAAGAGAGAAAGAGAGAGACGGTCAATGTGTGTATCAATTTATCAACTCGTTATACCGGCGTTTTTGGCAGTTTCCTGCGCGTCGGCGACGAGGGCGTTTTGTCCGTTTCGGTTTCTGCAAAAATATTTTAACATGCATTGTATCAGTAACGCACACTACTGCAATCATTTTCCATACTAATAAATGATGTAATAAAAATTACTGGGAATCAGTTTCTTAATTCGCTTCGTGTGGGAACAATTATGTAATGGAAACGCATATTGAAAAACTATTCTAGATATTATGAATTAAAATTTTGAATATGCAAGTCAATGTATGTGTTTGATGATAACATTTAATATTATTGCGTTATAAAATATGAATAATTTAAGATATTTATGATGCGTTGAATATATATATGTAAATGAAATTCAGGAATATATTAATATTAAATGTGTAAATGAGATTTAGCGATTATAAAGGTTGATAAAAGTGGCATATACAAATTTTCTCATTATAAAGATAAGTCTATTAAAAAAAGATTTTATACCTTGAAATTTTTTACAAGCATTTTTAATTTTTAATGGTAGATTATGTCCACGAAATCACGTATTTTCTCAATTCACACAAAGAAACGTGACCACATGAGAATATAAAGTGGCTTAGCAAATATTCACGAATACGAAAATACTCGTTCTTCGTCTTGCGAATATTCTCGAGGTCAAAACGGAACTGTGTCAGTAGTCAGAGATCATTTTCGTCCTCGCAACGTCCTGGAGTCCCACTTGGGACTTTTATTCGTTATATAAAAAGCCACTACACACGTACTATTCGAAGTTATTTCTAGAACGATATGTACGAAGCCTACATTTCTGCGTTATCTTTTAGGTTTTTCTTTTCTTTATAGACCCAATTTCGAAATGATCGATCTTTATCATTCTTGTCGAATCAAATGTAATCACAATTTTATGTTTTTTTATTTACAACGATCGTCATGTTATAAATGACTAGAGAATGCGTACGTTTTATCCGTGATACTATTTTGGATATAAAATTATTTTCATAGAAAAAAAAATTATTTTCATATTTAGGGCAAAAATTGAAAAACGATATTTTTCAATAGCCAATTTACAGAGTAATAATAAAATTCTTATATATCGATCTTCTCAATACATTCTTGTATGACGAAGATTATTTATGGAATCGTGTACAATCATTATTTCGATATAAATAATATGTATAACTGGAAATTTTCTCTAAATTATATTGTTTCTGTAAAAAAAAATTGAGTAAGGAAATTTCAAAAGTCATTTTTATAAATTTTATCTTTGGTACTTACCCATTAGAAGACCCAAATTTGTAGGTGTTTTCCCAGATTGCGGATCGTCTAGTAAATCTCCAGTACTGTTTTGCGAGGGCGTCATAGAAATTAGTCGCCGGGAAACACAAGGCGAATATAGAGAATCGATTTGCGGTTAGGTCTGTTCACAATCGTCTCATGGTAATATCACTATATGCATTGACTTACATATCGGTCGCATGCTCCACCACCAACTCCGCTACGTCGTCGGTTCGCTCGATTATCTGCTGCACCTCCTCGAAGCTCCGATCGATAAGAGATACGCCGGACCATTCTAGCACCTACACACAGCCATTTCATTTCGATATATATATACCATAAAATAAAATATTTTTATAATAATATATTAAAAATTAAATATTTTGATTGTCTATGTTAATTTGTATAAAAGAAATACCAACTAAAATAAAAGGATTAAATGATCCTAATAATTAATAAGCAACTCAAAAAATAAAAATATTTTTTCTCATATTTTTGTATTTATATTCAACAATATTAATATATATATATATATATATATATATATATATATATAATATTTTATTTTATGGTTTACGATAAATCCCGTAACAATCGAACATTTAAATCTATATTTTTTATTAATGATAATGATATTAATAATTAGAAATCTCATCTTGCATGTTTCTTTTTCTTTTGAATATTTTTAAATTTTGAAATATATTTTATAAAAAAAAAGTTTTTTGTAATATATTGTTGCCTATTAATTTTTAATAATATTCTAAACAATCATAATTAAATACATCATTTAGAAAAAGCATTAATTATATAAGGAGATAAAAAATCAAATAAATTATATAAGGAGATAAAAAATCAAATCATTTTCGAAGACAATCGTTTCTTTTTTCGAGATCTTGTAGAACGATTATATGGAATTTTCTAAAAAAAGAACGCAGCCACATAGTTCAAAAATTTCCGAGGAATTGTAACCGGTGAAATTAACATTAAGACGTGTCTCAGCGAGAGAGGGTAACAGAGAGACTGAATTGCAATCGGTTATAAAGGTCATTTCGCTGTTTAAGTATTTAAATTACTTTAATTACTTCAGCAAATCACCGTGAGGAGAAACAAAGACGGCGACAAGACCATCGCTGCAAGGGACGGTAAACTGTTAACTTTCGGGAGGGATTCGTCGTGCTAATCTTTAAAGTCGGGGACACATTAAGATTAAGGGTCCGTCTGTTTTAACGATGAATGATATTTATCACCGCGTAAGATGGAGAACCGTGAAAATTGAAATACAGTGATTAAACGTCGACTCATTCGCAATTTCTTATCGTCACACACACGTGCGTAATTGCTAAATTTAATAAATTCGATTCCCCAGTCTGATTTTCTACTGATTTTTTACGGATTCAAATTTAAAAGTATTTAACAATATATTCTCCTTATAAAATTGTCGTTCGTGTTGTATTTTTTATTTCGCTATGTTCGGAATCGCGTATCAATTTACTTTATACTTGGTCGGGTATTAATTAACGAGAATAGAATTAAATGTTCGATAATAATTATTTTGACGATATTATAATTGTTTTGAAGATGATTTTCTTGTAGAAAATTCACGCTTGTGAAGCGATTCTTGTAGAAACGCAAGATTAATATTTCTTCCTTCTCTGTATTTCACAATGAAATATTAATCGCGTTTACAGCAAAATATCACAGTGTCGACTGCTATTCAAATTTCAAATATCGCGAAAGTTGTTTCAATTAGCATATATTGTACACAAAAGCCGAAAATATATTCATCGTCACCTGCTGTATAATAATGTCTAGGACGAATCCTTTGAAGAACGTTATACGATTCACATTAATTATAGCGCCTGACAGCTTTCAATTAAAGCACGAGCAGAGTCGAATTCAAATAGGTCGGTCAATATATCGTTATTATATATCGATGTATAAAAAAAGCACGATCGATACATCACGACTATTTTTCTCTCGTTGAAATGGAAAAAGTAAGAGCGAAAAATGAAATTATAAATTACTTTTAAAAATCGATTTATTATACATCGTATTAAAATAGACCGAAATTAGTCAATTAATATATTGAATCATCATTTTATAATTTTTTATTATATTTTTTTCCGTATTATTTAATCTTGAATAACTGCTTTATTCTCGCATATGATACTGAAAGATATTAAATTCGTACAACATATGGCAAAATCGATTAGACAGTTTTTCTTCTTCTCTCTCTCTCTCTCTTTTTCTCTTTACAGTACATAAAAAAAATATGCAGCTTGGATATAGGGTAAACCATGTACTATTCTATGTATTCGCGTGTTCGTGACAGCATCCACATATATTCTCACAACCAGCACCTCGGTACAAGCTCGTGCATAATTTTCTTTCGCAAGCAAACATTTATCGTTTTTGTCGTTACGATGTAGAGACAAAACGACTTATATTCGAAAAACATCCACAATTGGACTTGAAATAAATGTTCCACATTGTACATATATATATTAACAGACTGGACTCGCAAAGATCTAGCGAAAAGAATTTGTGAGAAAAGTAAGAACGCAGACAATTTGAGAAAAAATACAATTTTATATTCAATATTTAACAAAATGCAATGACAACGCGTATAATAATATAATAATTATGCCATGTTTAAGTGCTCCAGCGTTCAAGTTTTCTTTTTGAAAAATGCGATATGAAACTTTGCATCGAAATGGAAATATTTATTCGTACAAGAGATGGGAAGGCATTTTCAACTTTCCAGATGTTGAACGATTTTTATTGCAAATCTTCTTTTGTACATTTCTGGATGCGATAAAAAGGGATTTATTGAGGGCAGAGAAATGATTCCATGTAGGCGATACATAGTAATGCAGAATTTGATCAATTTTTTATGTTCAATAAAAGCGAACCTTTTTTGCTTCCTATTTTGAGAAAATCTTGAAGAGATTTTGTGCTATTTATATGTATACGATTTATTTACGATTCAATTGAATTCTCTTATTTTTTTAAAGTACTTTATATTTATTTTTTAATTTATTTTTATACAATTTGTTCTTACTCATTTGTAATTTCTAGTAATTTTAAAATATAATAATTTTTTGTCGAATTTTTTGCATGATCAGTATACATATTTATGTGACCGACCTCATAAATTTCTTAAGTAAGTCGGAGAATCTACGAATATTTTAAATTTGTCTGAATTTTCTCTTCTCAACAAAATTATTTTTCTTATTAGAATCATATTCCACGTAACGGTGATCATTGGATTTGCTTCAATTCTCGATCAAGCTGTCATATACGGTTTCGCGCTATTACACACACGTACAATTTTCTGTCTCGATGCTTCAAAACGAGCTTTTCAGCGTTCGCGTCACATTGTGTATGTATATTCATATTGGATATATATATGTGTGTGTGTGTGTGTGTGTGTGTGTGTGGTGTGTGTGTGTGTGTGGTGTGTGTGTGTGTGTGTGTGTGTGTGGTGTGTGTGTGTGTGGTGTGTGTGTGTGTGTGTGTGTGTGTGTGTGTGTGTGTATATATACTCTTTTTTTAGATTTTCTTTCTCCTCTCTCCCGAAGCGTTATAGAGGGTAGGCTGCGGATACCGGTAACTTGGTATAGGAAATAACGCGTATGAAAGCGATCAACCACCGGTTCGCCGTTTTCCATGATTCTCGTTCATTGTATGATATATCGATCGGTCAGAAAAATCCAATATGCATTTGCAAACGAACGTGACATGCTGAGGAATATTCATGGAACGTTGGTGGCGATACAATACCGCGAAGTTAACTATAAAAAAAGAGGACCGCGTGATTTAATAGCCGATCGATCGTCACAATCAAAAAATATCAGAGATAAAATCAGCACAATTTGACGCGGTATGCGGGATGTCGAATGCGGGCACCCGAATTGTGGTATTCGAGATGTGGGAACAGTAGCATTCATTACAGGAATTGTAAAACAACCGGTTTTCAAATTCTGGATCTCCGTATCGCAGAATTATTTCATTTTGTATTAATCTTTATTGCATTTGTAACACTAATGCGATGGTTAAATTATACAAGTTTATGTATTGTAGCAGACTTTTTATATTTTTTGACGTTTGATGGCAGATGTTAAATTGTTTTTATTGAAATTAAAATTATTATTAGAAATATTAATTTTTTATCTTATTTTATGATGTATACAAACAATATATATATATATATATATATATATATATATATACATATATATATATATGTGTGTGTGTGTATATATAAATAGCTATAACAAACATCCGAGAGATATTTTTACGTTGAAATTAGCTTCTCCTTTCCTTCCTTTTAAGCCAGCCTTATCGCGTTACCCCACCGTTTATTTACGATGCACAAGTGCCTCGTATTTCACCCCATTCGGAAACATTATTTAAAATAAGCGACTCGCCTGTGCTCGCGCGCATCTTGTTGCGAGCTCGTTTAACCCTCGAGAAACGTCTGTCTTTAGTTTCGCGTCGTCCCGAAAATTTACAACATGCTATTCGCTTCTAACAATAAGAATGAAAAGGGCCATAGTCGAGCAAGCGAATCTGTTTGGCGATGTCTGTGACGATAAGAGAGAAGCGTCATGTTCTGTTAAATATTTTTCGCAACATAATAAAATGGAAAAATTGCGTTTGAATGACATAAACATAATATATGAAACATGAAATTAATATGAATTTGTGTTTATTCGTGTAAAATTTTCGTGAAATATCATGATGACACATGCGAACATGAGCAGATTGTGAAAATTTTAGCGGACCAGCGAAAATAAAATTTCGAAAATTACGCTCCATTTTTACGGAAAAATACTGGAACTTATTACTCGCTATAAATATATACTGTAAATATGATTCGATGTAATTCAAGTGATATTTCGCAGAGAAATATGCTAATTTACATATATGAAAAATTTATAAGACTTGCATTTCATAATTTATTTGAAAAATATAACTTTTTCTTTTAACAGTTTTTACATAGAAGCGCATGTAATTTAATACTTTTTATTTAACAAGATAAAAAATTATTGAATATTTATTTGATTAAAATAGCGTATATATTACGAAATAATATGAAAAATTTCCAAGATATAAGTTTGATAGAACATATGTGATAGAATATTCATTCATGGTATAATATTAGCTTTGCAGTAAAGGCGTCGTACGCACAATAAATATTTTTTAATTTTCGTATTTAAATAAGCAATCCTCGTCCTGTTGATTGCTTATTTCTTTGCATCATTGTTGAAGATTAACTTGTATTTTCGTTCATATTTAT